ACCTTAATTATATTCTTCTCTATTTTACATATATATATTTAATATAAATATATATAGTAACATGTAAATAAATTACAAATTATGTATATATTAGGGAGGTGAGCTCATAACTTACTGGTAGAGATAGCAAAAATATCTGTGGTGGGGTATTTTTGAAGACTTGGAGAAAGGGCATTAGAGAAGGCCATTTGAAAGCAAGGATGGGTCACTGTTGTCGCTAAGTTGAAAAAGCAGTGGGCAAGGGGCTAGTGCTGTAGTTGGTGGCAGTGCTAAGCCTGCTTAGGCCTTGAGAAGAATGGCAATTTTTTAAAGTTATTCCCCTATTTTAAACTCGATCATTTTGTTGATCTTCAGTCTAGCTGAGATAACAAAGGCAGGTTTAAAAAGTGATGTCTTATTTAGAAACAAGAGTAGAGGAAAGAATCCTAGACCTTTGACATGAGCACTACACATTTGAAAGATAAATGGTTAGGTTTTAGGGACTTGAATTGAAATTAATATTGAAGATCAAGACAGTTAAAGGGAAAGTTTCAAAATTATTAAGATTGAAAGTTAGCAGCTGATTCTGAAGAAAGTGTTTTATCCATTAATTTTTCTTTAGTAGGATTGATTAAAGTAACTAGAAGACCATAACAGCAGGCCTCAGAGTTCATTGTAATGCTACCTATTGCTTTACATTCTGTGAAGAGCCGATTGTGTTGACAGAAGTGCAAGCCTAACTTCAGCATTTATTTACTTCTTGTATCTTCACAGGTAGACCCTCATGGTATTTTCTAATATAACTATGAGAGGGTCTTTTGTTTTTCTCTATCCACTCTGTAGAAGTTGTTAGAATCCCCTGTTGCTTTTTCTTTAATAAATATGTTCAATTTATGAATATTTTTATCTTTTTAATTGACAGAACCAGAACTTTTTGGTCAGGAGTCCTTAAATTGTGGTGCAAATGCTAATATTTTTCAGATGAATTGATACTGGATAATTGGTAAATTAGTCTCAGCAACATTGTATATTCTGTTGGTGTACTTGACCCCTTGGTAGACTTTGAAGTACATCCATAGTTGTACCTATGCTCACTGAGATGAGGAAGTCATACTTTTTTAGCCTTTGTCTGGGAAAGCCTCCACGGTGTCTCTGAAACCTCTGTGAATGTGAAAAGTCACATGTCCTCAATGGTCCCACATGCTTTTCATCTAAGTTTCTTCAGACAAGTTAGAAGCTCCTGTTTTCACATAAGGTTCTAATAGCACTGTGTATCTTCGTGGCGCAGAGGGATCTCATTTGTTTGATCATCATCTATGAAAGAAAAAGAAACAGATTCAGTGAGGACACTGAATGTAGCAGGGTTTCTAAGCTTTTCCCTAGGATTATTAACTGTGCTTAGTTTCTGTGGTAACTCTGAGTCTATACTAGGTCGATCCTATATTTGCTATGAATTTGAGACATGCTGATAACAATTTACTTCAAAGATTGACATCTCTCTTTTTTAAAACCAGAGAGACAAGTAAAACAAATCCCCATGACTCCACAATCTAGCTTTAACACTTACCAATATTTTGTTATTTTTTCATTCTCTTCCAGTCACTCCCCCCTCTCCCAGTCATTTAGGTTATGAATTTTAACTTGCATCTCCAGTGGACAAGGACATTTTAAAAATATGACTATCTCATTCTCACACCTAAAAAAATGAATAGCTTCTTAATGTCATCTAATACTATTCTAGTCTATATTCTAATGTCTTCTCTTTTCTTCAGGTGACTGCTTATGGTTCAGCTTTTCAGATCAGGATCCTAGTAACCTCCATATGTTACAGTTGCAATTTCAGTGTGATAGGTTCTGAGTCCTTCTCAGCTCTGTTTTCTGTTTCATATCATGGATTTGTGCAAAGACCAAGTCATTTGTCTTAGAAACTCATATTTCAAATTTGGCTTAATCCTTCCTTGTGGTATTGTTTAATTTGTTCCTCTTTTCCTATAGCTTTTGAAAACTAGTAGTAGTTAAATTTAGAGATTTGATTAAACTTTAGTGGTTTTTATTTTTTAAAGGCAAGAATACTTCAAAAGGAGATGAGGTTTATCACAAGATAAAATACTCCATGTTCATTTTCAGTGATACTGAAATGTTTTGGTGGTTAAGGTCTCTAGAGTTCACCATCAAACTTAACCTAACATTTTTATAATCCATTGTCAATTATTTTCTACTCCTTTATTTACAATAATTTCTTCTGATTTTATTTGCTGGAATATCCTATAAACCAGAATTTCCTTCTGTAATTATTTAGTGTCTGGAAATTATGGTTCTTACAAGAAAGTCAAGGTAAAACATTGATGTTCCCTTTTTACATGTTTGCAACCTCTAATGGAGGTTTCTTTTTTAAATGTAATTTAAAATTTCTGGATCCATTGTGATAGTTCTTTTGAATGAAAGTTGACTCTTAAAAACTACAAACAAACAAAACAGAAAGATGACTTATCTATCTACACAAAAAGATATCCCAGGCTAATCCTGGGCTGCTTTAAAAAAATTTTTTTTTCCCTTATGGTACTCAGGGCCTCATGCTTGCTAGGCAGGTGCTCTGTCACTTGTGCCACTCTGCCAGCCGTTTTTGTGTTGGGTACTTTTGAGATAGGGTCTTGCCTTTTTCCTGGGCTAGCCTTAAACCGTGATGCTCCTGATCTCTGCCTCCTGAGTAGCTAGAACTTAACAGGCTCACCTAGTTCCTTTTGTGGAACAATCTAGATGCAGGGGAAGTTCATGCTACCATGCTTGGCCATTGAACAGTGTGAAGACACAGATGCATGCCTCTGCATACACGTATGCACAAATAGCCAAAAACATACACATACACTTAGAGTTAGGGAAATCAGGAATTTATATTACTATTTCCAATTTAAATTTATAGAGCCTATTACTTTTCTAATTTTCATCAAAAAATGAAATGAAAAGTTTTGGTTGTTAGGGATATTAACATAAATCCTTGTTTACTTTAGCCTATAATATATATCTATAATAGTTACAAAATAGCATTATCAAGTTTTTTACAGTTCTTTTTATTCTTAGATTATATCTCACTAGGTATATTTTGTTTTAAAAGGAAACAAAAACATTTTGTTTTAAAAGTCATTGAAAAACATTTTCAATGTCTTTTGACATTGAAACATTTTGTTTTAAAAATCATTGAAAAAAATCATTATAATACTTATTATACAACCAACATTATAATAACTGGGAATTTAAAAAGAAAAAAAATTTACCCAGAGTTCTAGTTCTTTTCACTATGTGTTTCTACTAGTAACTTCCCTGAGTTCAAATCTCAGTATTGCCAATTTTTTTTTCTTTCTTTTTTGATTTGATTTATCTTTTTTTTTTAAATAGTATAAAATAAAACTTTTTATAACTATACATTCACAGGAGTTAATTTTTATCCTTCTACTCTTTTCTGTTTCCTTATAAACATTTTATTAGCTTATAATTTATCCTTCTGAGTATTTTTTAAACTGAGCAAATGGTCTGTGAACATATATTTAATATCACCCATACTTAAATGTTTTTCTGTACCTGCCTTTTTTTTTACCCCCCTTCCTAGTACTGAGGATGGAGCACAGGTCTTGAGAATGCTAAGTAAGCAGCCTGGCACTGAGCTACACCCCAACCCATTACCTAGCCTTTAACTTAATATATATGTGATCTCACCCAGAAAAGAATATGAGAATTATCCATGCTCCTTTTTTTATAGTTCCATAGTGTTCCCAAATGCTCATTGATTCACTTTTGAATATATCGTTTGCTGGCTTTGGAGCCAGTGTCTATTAATGGAAGGGAAAAGAAAGGTAATCATTATCAAAACCATGTGTTTGCTCTATAAGGTAGGACTATCTCCCATTCCTATTTTTGAAAAGGAAGAAATGGAAGTTCAGTAAAATGTAATGACACAGTCACATGACCACTAAGAAATGGATCAGTCACTCAGGATTAGACTCTGATGCTATGCAGCCTGACAGTTCAACATTTCAAGGTTGTTATATTTCCAATGGTGACTAACATTAAATTTAATTTTTTTGCTTGTTTTTGATGCACCTAAGAATCTGATTTTAAAAAATTTTATTTTTGTGGGTTTTTTCTTTTTTTGGACAATATTGGGATTTGAACTCATGGCTGTACATTTGCAAGACAAATGCATTACCTTTTGAACTATCCCCAGACTTTTGCTTGCTCTAGTTTATTTTTCAGGTAGGGGTCTTGCTTTTGCCCAGGGCCAGCTTCAGATCAAGATTTTCCTACCTAAGCAGCCCACACGTGACTTGTTAGTTGAGATGGGGTTCTTTTAACTTTTTACCCAGGTTGGTGTTGAACTCTGATCCTCCCAGTATCCACCTGAGTAGGCAGGATTGGCCAGGATTACAGGTGTAAACCATTACACCTGGTCCTGACTTTTGTGTTTTTTAAAAAAAATTTCTGTGAGTTATATTTTTTAAATGTATAATATATAAAACACTTAGTATACAACTAATATGATAATAAAAATAGGAATTTTAAAATAAAGTTACGCAGAGTCCTATGCCTTAACTAATCTTTTCATAGCTGTGTAGTTTGGGTTTTTTTTTTTTTTTGTAACAGGGACTTGCTATGTAGCCCAGGCTGACCTGGAACTCTTGATCCTGCCTCAGACTCCTGAATGCTGGGATTATAAGTGTGTACTACCACACTCAGCTGTTGTATAGTTCTTATATTGTATAGTTCAGTTTTCATATAAAGTCGGAGTTTGAGTGAATTTTTCTTCTGTTTTAACCTGAAACTGATGCCTAGAACATACATGTGGTGTTAAGATTTATTAAGATACATGTAATTTGCAGAATAATTGTTTCTGTGCTTACACATATTTTTTAATTTATATGGATCACAAACTCCCTCTCTTCTTTCTGTCATCTTAACTATACACAGACTTTCTCTTGAAGTGTATTGCCCCAAATTTAACAAAACTCCTTTTTTTCCCCCCATTCTAGTTTGGGAATACCTGCTACTGCAATTCAGTTCTTCAAGCACTTTATTTTTGTCGTCCGTTTCGGGAAAAAGTTCTAGCATACAAGAGTCAGCCTAGGAAGAAGGAGAACCTCCTTACGTGCTTAGCAGATCTCTTCCACAGCATAGCTACCCAGAAGAAGAAGGTTGGAGTGATACCCCCTAAGAAGTTCATCGCGAGACTGCGGAAAGAAAATGGTAACTCCTCCCCTTGCAGTGCGTTGCTTACGTCATAGGAGGCTTAGCTGCAGCATGTGCTGCCCTTGTGAGTGCTGTGCCTGACGCACAGGGGGCGATGCACCTGCATTCAGGAGGTGCCAGATCAGCGTAGGAGATAAGCAACATAAGGTGTAATTAGTGTTGCAAGTGTGTTGAGCAGAGAGGATACTCTGTATGCCAGGCAATGAAAAACAGTAATGCCTCTTTTTTGCCTGTGTGGCTTTTCTACCAAGAATGTAGTTTTTTATTATAGAACTGTGATTTATTGGTTTCATAATGCTTTCATCTGTTAACTCGTTTGATCCTTTCACTAATCTTAGACATTGCATTATTTCTCCCACTTTTGCCATGAAGAAACAAAACAACCTCCTCCCACCAAAGTACAGAAACTAAAAACTTATGCACAGTCATACTCCATGGGAAGGAAGGAGATAAGAATTGAGCCAGTCTGGTTTAGGGCAGATAAATCTTAATCCCACTCCTTTCTTACAATAGTTACTAAGCTCTGCTTCTCTTTCTCTTTTAAGCTCTACTTAAGTTTTCAACAGGTCTATAAGTTAGACATTATTGCCTTACTTTCCATGAGATACCCGAGACTCAGAGATGAGAAGTGATTTATCCAATGTCAGAGTTAGTAAGTGGCAGAGCTGGTGTTCAGCCTCCCTGCTACCTAAGCCCAGTGTTCTATCACTATGGTATGATGCCTCAGAAATTCAAAGGGAATTTAGATAACATGTGGAATCAGTTTTGTTTCACATAATCACTATAGAAATAAAATTGGATTGCATTTTTAGTTTGATTTATTACCTCTCAAATAGAAAGATGCCCACAGAGGTATATATGAGAAGTCTTTAAATCTTTACACTAATTTGTAATCCTGCTGTAAAAGTAATCAGTTACGTTGTTCATTATCATATGAATTAAGATAAGTCTGGATCATACCTTCTTCCCTGAAATGTAAGATGACCTTGAAATTGCATGGCTATTCTTGAATCTGATAAACATATTAAAGATGTGTTCATTTTCCCCATTCACCACAGTGAGAGGTAAAATTTGCTTTGTCAGATTACAGCTCTTTCTCTGTGTAGTATCTTCTGTGTTTAAGAAAGCCAAATCCAACCTTTTAGAAAGTGGAATGAGTTATTCAAATCTTAGTCTTTTTGTCTGTTTTGATATGACCCTTAAAGGTTTTACCCTGGTAGAAAATTTTTGGGTATAATTATTGAACATGCCACCTTTCCTTAGAGACTTCGTATTTTAGAAATGTTCACCAACAGAAGTATGTAACTCACAAAACATATTCTCTATTTCTTTTAATACATTTTTATTGGCCTTAATTTTTAATTGATTATATGTGATCTTTAAATGTACAGTGCTTTTTAAAATTTATTTAAAGGTAGATTGCGAAATGCTGAACACAGTTCAAGTAACTGTGGTTTTACAAATTGTTTTGTTTTTTTGTTTTGATTGTGGTGCTGGGAAAGGAACTCAGAACTAGACAAGCGCTATACCACGGAGCTATATCCTTAAGTTACCATGCTTTGAAAATTCTGTGTAGTTTTTTATGTTTGTTTGTCAAAACCTGGGATATTTTTATAGTGTTTTTTTTTTTTTAATAGTTCAACAATTTCTCAAGTTTCTTATATTTAGGCAAAGTAAATTGATAGCACAATAGACTCTTAAGTAATTCTTTGAATGAGACTGATTCCAGAATGAATATTTATTGTAAGCCAGCCTTCTCATAAGTTTTGGTTTTAATATTTAATAGAGAAAATATTTTTGCTTTTGATATTACTGGCATTTGTAAATATGTTTTAAAATATATTAATGTACTTTGGGCTTTTAAATTTTTCCTTGAATTTTTAAAGACGTTCATACAAATCAAAGAATATTTAATATATTGTCCATTGCATGTATTTCCTTCTGATATTTTGTTTTAAATTTCTAGAAACTATATTTTTCACTTCATTGTTTCCACTGACTCTCATTGTTGGATGATTCTTTCTCAATCAGTTTCCTTCATATTGTGTTAAAAACTTCATGTTTAATTCTCAGCAAATGATATTAGCTGCATTTTGTTTTAATCATAATGCCACTGGCACTAATGTTAATAATCTCTTTGATAGACTGTGGAAAGAACCAATTTTAATTTCTATTCATTAACGAGTTTTTGTTTTAAAATTTTTAACCTACATTACCTAAACCGTACCATAAAAGAACTGTTGCACCGTGTTCCTACGTGTAGTATGTGAGTGACAGCACTGATAGAATAGACCCTAGCTGATTACTTGCATTGAGTATTATATATCAGTTTTCCTGTTGTGTGCCAGACACTGTCTAAGCACTGGGGATATAGAAATACACTTTTAGGAACCTGTAAATGTAGTGGGGAAGATAGATAATCAACAGCTACGTAATACAGTGTGTCATTACTAGGAAGAGAAAAGAAACAGGGCCAGGAATTGGAGAAGGGAGTGACCAGTGCAGATGTAGATGGTTGGGGAAGTTCTCTGATAAGGTGACATTAGAGTTGAAATGAGAAATAAACCACTTGAAGATCTAAGGTAACAATGTGACAAGCAGAAAGAAAGTGCAGTTGCACTGTGTACTTGAAGGATGGCCAGAAAGTTAGCCTGGTGAAAGTGGAGTAAAATGAGATCAAAGCTAGAGAAAGGCAGGAGCCCAGAGATTGGGCTTTAAAAACCAGGGGAAACCATCACAGGGTTCCAAGCAGGTGGGTGATAGGTCTTGACTTGCATTCATCTTCTGGATGGGCCAGGCAGGCATGCATGAGAACCAAGGCAGGGAGACCAGCTAGAGGCTGCTGTAGTACTTTATGTACGAATCAAGCTTACCTGTTTCATGCTACTCCCCATAGAATCTTTGGTATTATTTTGGAAGAAATAAAACACAGGTTGGTGATCTAATTGTGTTAGCTAGAATTGACTGTCAGCTGAACAATTTAGGGTCATTTAGGGTGAGCACAAATGCCATCAACTGGCATCTTCAGATGTGCATTCCCACTCACTAAATCTTGGCAATATATATAGTTAAATTGTTTTGGACATTTACTTTTCTCATATCATCTTAGCTGTTTCAGCATCTATGCTTTGTTCATTCATTCAAAAAATGTCAAGCATATCTAGTATCTGGCAAGTACTGTGCTAGGGATATAGCAGTGGATGACATTAAAAAGGGTCCTAGTTCTTAAGGAACCTGAATATATAGAGCAGTGTTTCAAGTGCTGTGGACAGATACAAAATGACACACAAAATATTAGCTGTTCACAAATAACACCTATTAAGTAGATTTGAGTAAATAATTTTTCAGGTTTGTTTCAGTCGGTTTTCTTTCCCCAAAAGAGCATACGAGGCATTTCGTTTTATGAAAGCTATTCGTGAATTATGAAGGAAACATAACCACTTTTAATCAGTGACCTAATTTTCATTCTTTACATTAGTGTTATAGCTGTATCAGGACTATAATAGTTGATTATCATACATTTATTTAATAATGAAATTGTCTGTCTTTCCCACTAGACTGTCAATTCCATGATGGAGGGAACCCGTTTGTTTTTGCTAACCATTGTATTCCCTGCACATAATCTAGTTTCTGGCACATAATAGGTGCTTACTAAGTGTTTCTTGAATGAATGAGTGAACTTGCTTAATTTATCAAAGCAATTTTGAAGTCCATCTTTCCCATTGTGCTACTCAGCAGAGTAAGAAAGCCAACCATAAGAAAACCAGTGTTCTAAGAATTCATTTTAATGCAGTTCACAGAATTGTCCTGAAGTCACCCCATTGATGATCTTATAATATTTATGTGATCTTGGTAGATATTTTCAAAAGTATACTTGTCTGCTTTCAGGCACCGCAAGATTGCAGCATGTTGAGTATATTATATTTGCAGAAAATGGACTGTAAATTACTTTAGTAATACTTCAGCTGAAGTTTAGAGGATAGTCTGCATCTCATTTTCAGATTCAAATCAGCTGAGGTATTTCTGTGAATCTAAAGTCATTGTTATCTTTTGGGGGGTATAAAAGAACACCCCCCCAAAAGATACTATAATCTTAAAAAACATCTACACATTTTTGCTTTACAAAACAGTTATTTCAAAAAATGTACATATATGCTAAAATAACTTTTTAACAAGGAAAAATTAAGTCTATTTTAAATTTTAGCATTGAGTCATCATGCTGCTTTCCACCAGTAAATCAATCATCTCCCAACTCTTTTTTTTTTTTTTTTTTTGGTGGTACTGGCATTTGAACTCAGGACCTCTTATTTGCTAGGCAGTTGGGTTTACCACTTGAGCCTCTTTGTCAGCCCTTGTGAAGGGTTTTTTTGAGATCAGGTGTCAAGGACTGTTTGCCTGTGCTGGCTTCAAACTATGATCCTCCTGATCTCTGCCTCCTGAGCAGCTAGGATTACAGTTGTGAGCCACTGGCTCTCAGTTTATCTCCAATTCTTAACTAGGCCTGCAGTACTAGTTCTCCCCTTTATCCTTTTCTTTAGGTGCCTCTGTGACTTTTCCAATTCATTTTTTTCCCTTTTTTAAAAATTTAAGGTATTTATTTATTTATTTTTGAGGTAGGGTCTTGCTTTATAGGCCAGGGTGGCCAGTCCTCTTGCCTTACCCTTCAGAGTGCTGGAATTATACTTGCAGGTGAGTGCCACCCTAGCTGGCCATTTCTAATTTTTTTAAACCTATTCTAATGAACCTTTCATTCTTTTTTTTTTTTCATTTTTCTTTTATTATTCATATGTGCATACAAGGCTTGGTTCATTTCTCCCCCCTGCCCCCACCCCCTCCCTTACCACCCACTCCCCCCTCCCTCTCCCCCCCTTCCCCCCCCAATACCCAGCAGAAACTATTTTGCCCTTATTTCTAATTTTGTTGTAGAGAGAGTATAAGCAATAATAGGAAGGAACAAGGGGTTTTGCTGGTTGAGATAAGGATAGCTATACAGGGAGTTGACTCACATTGATTTCCTGTGTGTGGGTGTTACCTTCTAGGTTAATTCTTTTTGAGCTAACCTTTTCTCTAGTTCCTGGTCCCCTTCTCCTATTGGCCTCAGTTGCTTTAAGAACCTTTCATTCTTTATGTTAGTAGTGAGAGGTGAAAGTGCTTGATTTTTAAGGGATCAGGTAAACCTAAGGAAGCTGTCTACACACTTAGTTGTCAGGTTAGTGTAGAAGTTGGGATGGTCCATAATTTAGGCTATCAGTGTGTGTGGGCGAGGGGGAGGTAGAATGCCAGATGGACTCAGAGAGAGGAGAGTCATGGGTCACAGAATGGCTAAGTCTTGTGTACTTTTTGACTGATGGCAGATTTTGATACACAAGTGAAGAAAATGATTGAGAAATAGCAGCAGAGAGCTAGAACATGTCAAGGGTTGAAGCGATGCAGTTCCTAGAAGAAGAAGAAGAAGAAGAAGCAAAAAGGACTGGGAATGAAGAACATCCCAAGGATAAAGAAGAAAACATGTAAATGAGAGCAGTAGGGGATAGGAAATTTGGGTTGAAGGTGAAATATTTATTATTTTTTGGGATGAAGCATTATAGCATTGAGAGATTAAAGATAATTGACTTACATTATCTCAACTTTGGTCTAGATCTTTCCATGGTAGACCCATCTGAGGTTTTAAGTGTGACTTAGCCAGGCTTCAGAGGTGGAATGGACCACCAAGAGGGTTTGCAGAGTTGCGGGCAGCATCACAGGGTTGGGGGAAGCTGTGGGAGAGACAGTACTTTGGATCTACTGTGCCTCTTTGCAAAAGCCAGTGAACACACCGCTTATCAAGTTAAAGATCACTTAGATGTTAAATCCACATAGGGTAATGCAGTAACTATAGAACTTGGAAATTTTAGTGTTTTTAAACATAACAGAGGGAGTTTGAGGCTAATGAAATCTCTTAGGCTAAACAGCAGGGTGTGTCGCCAATTGATTATTTTTGTATTGATTTGAGGTCCATATTTGTGAAAATATTTAATGAACCTGAAAGAATTGGTTTGAATTTTATCATACAAAATGCAGATGTCAGGGAAAATTCATAGAATTTTCAGGGTATACGAATCAAACTTGTGTATTTACAGCATGAAGTTAAAGGAAAAAAACTTTTGTTAATGGTCTCAGTAAAGGGAGCTGACTTGAATGAGATATGCAGGAATGGTTTTTTAAAGATCAGAAGGGCTTGGGAAATAATGATGTGAAGGTTGTGCAACAGACAGTGATGCAGATCAGGGAAGTGGGCTCCACTTTATTGTTAAATGTGCAAATAATACATGCATATGTTCTTGAAGAAAAAAACTGTTCAGACAGACAAGAAGTTCCTCTGGGTGCTATACCTTCTCCCTAATCCCTAATTCTCTTTCTCAGAAATAGCTGTGACTTAGTAAACTGTTCTCTGTGCATTTAAATAAATATGTACAAGTAGAAGGCTACAGTTATGTTTTGTGGAACTTTGATGATTATTTTTTATAAATGGGATCCATTACACAAGTTTAGCATCTTTGCTTCACTTAATATCTTAGAAATTTTGCTATATTAGGTCACATGGAGCTACTTCCCTTTTAACTGTTGTCCAGTGTTCCATAACTTAAATAAACTGTTGGTAAACATTTAAGACGTTTTCAGAGTTTTGCTGTTATAAATGAGCAGCCATATCCAGACTCTTGTTTCTGTACATGCACATGTTTGCCTGGCATTGCTGTGGAGAACTACTTTACCAAAATTGCTCTTCAAAACATGTCATGCTGGTTCACATCCCTGGCAGTGGTGGTGGAAAGTGCTCATTTCTCCACAATCAAACCAACACTGGACACTAAGTAATTTTTTTATTTTGTCAAAGTGATGGCAAAATGATTTTTTAACATTGTTTAAATTTTTTTCCCAATTACTCATTATGTATTATTTAGATATTTGTATTTCCACTTTGAATCACCTGTTATTTTTGATTGGATTTCTTTTCTCAGCTTTGTAAAAGCCTTTTTTTTTAAGAAAAAATTTTGGTATTAAGCCTCTACACACTAAGGATATTAACTTTCGGCTACAGACTCCTCGTTTGCTACTTGTCTTTGCCATATACGGGTTCTTAATTTTTATGTACTCAGTCTTTCCTTTAGAGGTTTTGTATTTTGTTTAATAACAACGATGCACGTGCTTATAATCTTCAAGCTTACAATTCTGTGTTCTGAGGACTTTTAATCTTCTCAGAGACCATGTCAAGCATGTATTGGGCCGTTTCAGATGAGGACCTGTGGCTCAGGAAGTTAAGTAAATTGCCTGTGACATACATTAATTTAGAGGTAGAACCAAACACTGGTTTTGCCCTAGCACCTGCACCTTAAATTGGTATTTTTTAAAGGTCTTCTGGACACCAACATTAAAAATCATTATTTATTGATTTTGAATGTACTTTCCTTAATGCCCACTTGTTTTCAATTTTATGATAAATTTGCAAAAAAATGGTATCCTCATTTTATAAACAGTTAAAACCTTCCAACTACTGTAGGGTTGAACGTTTTTCTCTTGTTTTTTAGTGTTTTGAAAGTTTTTTTCTATAAGTGATTGATTTCAAGTCCTTTTCCCACTTTGGTGTTCTTTTTTTAGAAGATATTTTCTTTTGAATTATTGAAGATATTAATAATTTTCAGGTTTCACTGTTACTGTTTTTTTTAACTCTTGAAATGATTTCTAACACATAGAACTTAGTACAGTCCACCTGTACCTCATCTAACATGTAATTTTTCATTCCTTTTGTCTTAAGACTTTAACCTAAATCCCCTACCTTTTTTTGGTATGCTTCCATTTTAAAAGAGGGGAATCGTAGTCTTTTTTTGTGTATTGAGAATCTAAAAATGAAATTCCTAGATGGGTAATTTTCTCCTTGCAGCTCATTAAATGTTAATGTATAGTGTACTTTTTTAGCTAGTGTGCTCATACTAGACATTACTTTGTGTAACTGCCTGGTGGAGCCTTGCTGCCTGGTATGATTTTTGGGCTCTGCTTTTCCTGGCAGTATGCCTTTATGCTTCTTGATCCTACTTCCTCATTGTTAAGAAGATCAAATGTGATACTGTCTCTGAATTCCTTACAGTTCTGTGACAGGGTTGTGTTAGGCCAAGCCCAGCTAGTGCTTGATGTTAGCACTGCCACTGCTTTCCTAATATATCTCCTCATTTGTATGACTGCAGGAAACATTCATGGGGTTTTAAAATCTCACAGTTAGAGTGGACTTTTAGAGATTACATGGTTTAGGTGATAATTCCTAATGCCACATCAGAACCTGACTTGACTACATGGCCGAGTTATCTGGAGGAGTAGACTCTGGAACGTGTCCCTGTAGTTTACTTTTAGTAAATTGTGGTGGGTAAGCAGTTGGATTGGCCTTGGCAAGTTGTTGTCCAGCTTCTGCTTTGAAGCTTGCTGTGTTGAAATATTTGTGGAATAAATATTCAATGAGATGATAAAAATAATTTACTTCTTGTCTTCCCAATATCTATTGTGCAAGTTTGTGGGGCTAGGTTTTTACCTTTTTCTTGTGGATCAGTTTGTGTTGTGTTTTTAAAGAATATTTTCATTCATCTTAACTTTATTTCCTCCAATTTAGTCATTAGTTTTAGATATGAAAGTTACCTATTTCTTATATATTATAAATAATAATAAGCATTTGTATTTTTCATTGTAATAAAAAACTACATACACATTTTGCAAATTTGTTTTTATGATACTATTCTGAAATAATTCTAACATTTCTTCATTTTTAGAGCTTTTTGACAACTACATGCAACAAGATGCTCATGAATTCTTAAATTACCTATTAAATACAATTGCTGATATTTTACAAGAAGAGAGAAAGCAAGAAAAACAAAATGGTCGCTTACCTAATGGTAATATTGATAGTGAAAATAACAACAGCACACCAGACCCAACGTGGGTTCATGAGATTTTTCAGGGAACATTAACAAATGAAACCAGATGTCTTACTTGTGAAACCGTAAGTATATTGTAAAATCTTGTATAGAAAAAGTTAAAAGTTGTTCTTTGAGGTTAAGAGTATGGGAGATGAACTTGAAAATTAAAAATGTTAGATACAGCATAAATGTTATAGATGTACTTTTCAATTGAAAGAAGTCTATCTATATTTTTATGCACTGCTGCTTATTGACAGTGAATACTTTTGCTGAAATAAAGATACTTCCTGCTGTTTGAACTCTCTGATTTTGTTTCAGTTCAGAATGCATCAAATCATGTTGTAGGAATTGTGTCTTAGGTAAGCTCATAGGAATCTTACAAGTTAGGTGCAGTCATACGTGTCTAAGGATGAGGATATATTCTGAGAAAAGTGTTGTTGAATGATTTTGCCATTGTGGAATATTCTAGAATGCACTTAGACATACCTAGATAGTCTAGGTCTATCACTCACTGTGGCCTCTGGATGCAGTCAAGCCATGTGGTAAACACTAGGTGCGTGAGCCCTTGCCAGTGGAACACCATATACTTACATAGTAAACTTTTCCTGTAGAAGGAATACATTAAATAGTAACAAAAGTATGTAGTACGTTGCATACATAAAACACTAACTTTATTGTTTTCTAAACATTATGTACTATACATAATTTGTGTGCTATACTTTTATAGGACTGGACATAGATTTGTTGACACCAGCATCACCACAAATACATAGCATTGTGCTATGACAATAAGATGACTGTGATGTCACTATATGATAGGAACTTGTGAGTTCCATTATAACCTTACAAGACCACCATCCTATATGTGGCCTGTGGTTGACTAAGATGTAATGTGGCACATGATTATATATTAATTTGTTTTTCCTTTTCCTACATTTGTATGTAGTGTCTGTTGGGATAAGAGTATTTTATGTATACTTAAGAACACTTTGTAAAAATGAAGTTTTTGCAAAGTTATGCCTAGGATCAGATAACCTAGCACTCTTTCAGTCTTCCTTTTTATTCAGTTTCTTACTGTGGAATGAAATATCAGATCTTTTTAAATCAAAGCATCTATCATCCAATTAATGTTCACTGTCAATAACTGATTTTAGTTAATGAAGGACACAGTATTGGTAAATAAAATTCCTGTCCCTAAATAAAATCTTAGTGGTAAACCTCATTCAGGTCAAATGAAAGAGCTACAACTGAGTGCTTGAATGCATTGAATGTGTGTTAAATAGTCTGTGAAGATGTTTTGGAATTAGAGTAAGGACATCTTTGATGTGAGCTTCTTTTCATTGTCACAACCACCAGTTATTGGAGTAATGTCTCTTCTTAACAATGTTTGATGTCAGAAATTGGGTTGAACCTGTCTTTATTCAAATAAATCAACTCCAATTGTGTGTGTGTGTGTGTGTATTACATATATTTAGGAGTATTGGGGTTTGAACTCATGTCCTCATGCTTGCTAGGCAGGTGCTGTACCACTTGCCACTCCAGCAGCCCTCCAATTATTATTTTAACAAGAGTTTTTAGCATATAAGGAAAATGTTATAACTGAATTCCAACTAATTCTATTGGAATAATAGGTGAAACCAGGGGATTTGTCAGTTTCTTGGTGTTTATTATAATGGAATTAAATTTGTTAGAAAATGTCAGAATATGTATATGTTAACCTTTTTCAATGTAACAAAATAGTTGAATTTGCTTAACACATTGAGAAATGCAGTAGATGAGATTGGTAAGGTAAACTTTGAGACCCTCTTGGATGCTCTGCCAAGGCCTTTGAAGTGTGTTTTCTAACCTGTGGATAAGAGCGCATAGAGATGTAACTTTTTTGAAGGAGAAACTGGTATGAGCCGTCCTTGTTCAGAGTACTTGAACTTATTAAGGGATGGATAGTGATATTACTCTTTCTGTTTATTCTTTACTAAGTCCATCTGTGAACTGCAGTATGTATTTGTAGATAATTTTCCAAGAATTAAGCATGATTTGAGACTATTTCCTCAGAATCTAAGTGATCATCATGCAGATTCAGTAAGTGGTCATAGTACCATGTCTCTTGACATGGTACTAAACTAGAGGGATGAAATTCTGGGCTTCTCAAGATAGTTAAGAACCAGTTATGCTGAGAAGAAGATGAGTGGATGGTGGTAGATGATTAAGATGGAAATCTGACCTCAACATGCTCATAGGGCAGTGAAGAACAGCAACAAAATGTCTTCACACAGCATGTTCCTGTAGAAGTGAGCTCAATATGCTACTCAAATCAGAATGACAGACCTAGCCCAGGTGGGAAAAGGAGTGCTTGGAAAGTCAGGAGGAGGCTTCCTGGAGAAGCTATAGCATGTATTTTACTAATGCAGTTGTTCGTGTCTTAGTGAGAGGAAGTTGATTCTTATAATCCTCTGTTCTGGTGTTCTCTGTTGTATGAATATTCCTTCTCAGTCTCATTCCTTGCTTTTCCTTTTTCCATTTAGTCTTTAAATATGGGTGTTCCCTGAGGTTTCATTGTGTGTTGCTCCTCATTCTGCATCAGGAGGATCGTGTTCCATTTCTGTTATCACATGTACTGATGAGTCCGAGTCCAGGTCTCCAGCCTGGAGGTCTTCCATTAGTTTTGGACCCGCATCTCCTGATGCAGGTATGACATGACATGAAGAGGACATTAGCCCAACACCAAGTAGGCATGTTTACACCCTCTTTTAAAAGAGAAATAGTGTTCCACTCGGTGATCACCTGATACAACACAAGTACAAATACAAGCATAGTAACTCAGGTACAACCAGATAACCCAGATAGCCTTGTCAGGGTTTTTATATTATCCTCAAGGTAAATATTTAAAATGGAGACCCCTGAAGCAGTAGCTGAGAACCTCATCTTGAGAAATACCCAGCTATTTATTTTTATCTTTGTAAGACAAGGTTTTTATGTAGCCCAGACTGCCTTGAATTTATAATCCTCTTGCACCTGCCCCCCAAGAACTGGGATTATTGGTACGTGCTCCCACAGCTCACCTATACCAGGCCATTTATTCTTTTCTTCTGCTTAACCTACACATAAACTACTGTCTGATCTTGCTTTAGCCACCTCTGCTGTACTGTCCCCTGTCAATCTATCAAATTTCCTACTAACTTCGGCTAATTATTTTTCCTTAAACACATCAAATTCTCTATGCTATTCCTGAATTGTCTTTCCTCTTCTTTTTCATTGCAATGTTTGAGACCCAGGTCAGTTATTTTGTAGTATTATTCTACCTTGTCTTGTTCAGTAGAATGGCATATTATGTGAGGGTTTTGTTCTAAGGTTAGTTTAATGTAGAAATTAAGCAGAGTCAAAATCACTCTTGAAACTCTCTTAAGCTTTCTAAAATATATAGTATATACACCACCCCTCTTTATTCATGTCTCCTATCACACGCTGATGTTGGGAATAGTTCTCTCCTATTGGAATTCAAATAAGCAAATAATTTTTTATAAGGTGATTTACTCTTAAAACTTTGTGTTTGATACTTTGGGAGAAACAAAGGTAGGTCATAAATGAAGAATGTTTAATTTAGCATTTTGGGCTAAATTATTTTTCTTTTTGGCAGTACTGGGAGGGTTGAACTCTGGTCCTTGAGCTTGCTGGACAGGTACTCTACCACTTGAGCCATGAAGCCAGCCCTTTTTGCATTGGTTAGTTTAATACCCAGGCTTTATACCCAGGCCCACCATTGTAGCCCAGCCATTGTTAATCTGGGCTGATCCTCCTGATCTCCGCCTCCTGAGGAGCAAGGATTATAGGCGTGAGCCACCATGACTAGTCCTAAATTATTTTCTTATGTGTTTAGAAAAATAAATATAGATATCACGTCCTTTGTCAAGCATTCTCATTCAGTCTTGGCCTACATTTTTTAAAAGTCAGTGTGTATGGTGCAAATTCTTTTCGTTCTTTTAAATAACACTGAGATTTTGGAAAGTAATAAATTTTCACATCATACTGTCCTTTATAGGTGAGGCAATCAGTCATATGTTTACTTTGGTGTTTTACTTACACATGAAATGTGGACATTTATTCAGTGTCCTTTTGAGTAATTCAAATCAAGTAATTGTTTTTTGAATTTGAGGAAGAATTATTTACATGCTACTGATAGAATGCATTTAATTGTGTCAATTGGAAACTTGTGGTTTCCTAATATTTTGAAGAAATAAAAAATCATTCCCTGTTTTTACAGATAAGCAGCAAAGATGAAGATTTTTTAGATCTTTCTGTTGATGTGGAACAAAACACATCAATTACTCACTGCTTAAGGTATGTAAAATGATTTATCTTAAAATTTAATGATTATTTTTGGTTCCGAATACTTTTAAATGAATATATGCTTTTCTGGTATATATAAAATAAATTTATTTTGATTGTCACACAGGGGTTTTAGCAACACAGAAACTCTATGCAGTGAATATAAATATTACTGTGAAGAGTGTCGCAGCAAGCAGGAAGCACACAAACGGTAAGTTAGAGCCTTTTGAAGTTTTTAGTGATTTCTTTGGCCATGGGTTGGAGATGGACTTTTCTAGCTGAAAGTGATCTGTGAAAATTTATACTGATCAAGAATTCTTAATTTTATCATTAGCAGTTAAGGCTAATTAAGGATTACTAGCTAAATGATACTCTATTCACTGCTTTTATAAAATATCTATACCTTCAGGTGACTTAGTACAGTTAGTGATTGTGTAATAATTATAAACCAGTGCAAAGTATTTGACTTTGAAGTTTTTCCCAGTTGTTTACAGACTTTTTTGTTTTCCTTAGTGAGAAGGGGTGAGAGAGAAAGTATATCCTCCATCCCAATTTCTGTTGTTCCTATGTAGGATGTTATTGTACATCCTCCTACTGTGCCATGTTACAAAGACTGATTTTTGTGTCAAGAACTGGAACCATCTTTATCATGATCACCACTTTATTTTTTGTTTTCAATCTCAAACTCAGAGAAAAATAGCATGCATGATACCAGGAATGCTTCTTTGTCTATACCAATTCTGGACATGTTAGTAGATGTTTCTTGCCATCAAGGAAATTTTCCTGTATGCCTGTATCCATTCAGATAAGGAAAATGACAGTGACATGCTACTGTTACCTCAGATCTGATTCTGATATTAGAAAATGCTCCATTAATTCCTTTGTAGGAGCAGGGCCCAGGCCAGAAATCACACATTATACTAGTATTCATGTCTCTAGTCTTGACTTTCCTGATCATAATTAGGTAAAAATAACACATTAATTTTGCTGTAGAATGTCCTTTCTTTGAGTTTGTCTCATGTTTTCTTATGACTACACTCAGTGTGTACATCTTGGGGAGGAGTCTTACAGAAGTGATGCTGTGCTCCCTTGTGGTATCCTATTAAACAGCACACTATTGTGATGTATCTTACATGTTTGGGAGTCCCCATGTTTGGTGATTCCTAGTGGGGATAGTACTCAGCATGTAGTCATGCTCAAAGCTAAGTTTATCACAGGGAAAGGACACAGAGCATAGTCAGTAAAGGGCAAAACCAGGCAAGCTTCTAAGAGTCACTGTTCCAGTGGCACCACACAGGACACTTAATTTCTCTAGCATAGTGACATCATGAGGAGCTGTTTTCAGACTCAGTGCCCAAGATTTTTATTTTGAGCCAATCACATAGACACCCTCTGCCTAGCCTAGCACCAAATTCCAGACTTCCAGAAAGAAAACAGCATGTTCTGGTTAGCATAACATCATATTGTTCAAACAGTTTGAGCACAAGGAGGTTTCTTTGTCATTTAAGGAATAGTGGGAATACTCAAATCCAAGTTCCCAAGTGCCCACTCAAGGCATATTTGGAAGCAAGCCTTTCCAAGTATAGTCTGAGGCCTTGTTAACTCTTCTTTGCTCAACTCCCTCCTATGCTGCTGTTGTTGAACACTTGATTAAGGTGATGCTTCCCAGAGTTTGCTACTCTTAAGCTACTTTCCCTATTATAATTTACAAGTATTTGGGGTAGAGTATTTTGAGATTGTAAATATCTTCAGTAAACTTCTAGTTCATTTTTAAAATTACAGTGTGGACTCAAAAGATTTCTGTTTAGTTCAGTGAGTTATAATCCACTACCATTTATATTTTCATGCTCCAGTTATCCCCAGGTCAGCGACTGGCTAGTTGGGAGCCCCTTCAGGCTAGCTCCTGTGTCTTTTTGATAGGCCACATCATTCTTAAAACACTTAAAACACTTCTTTACTTTCTGGCACTAGGTATTCTAGACTCATTTTGTACTTTCCTTGCCCCTAACCTGGAACCAACCGTTTCTCCAAGGAACTCTGGTTCCTTTTAGAGGAAAATGATGTTTAGAAACTAGGACATTATATAGTTGGTGTGCTCATTGTTCTGAGATATCACTATTCCTGAACCCTCTTAGTGAACAGAGCTAGAGGATCTATGAATATACATAGTATATATCTAAATCTGTACTCGCTTTTCTTATCCCAAGATCTATCTATATTAAAATGCATAAATTCACAGTGAGATCTCTAGTTACAACCAACATCATAGGTTTCATTCCAGTGTCTCCTTTTTAATGTTTGTAATTCCCTTCTGTGGCAGTAAAAAGTAGCTCTTAATTATCTTTACTGTATTTACTTATTGTTCTTGTGTTCTCTCTCCTCCCCCTCCCTCTCCCTACCCTCAGTATGCTTGGGTTTCCTTCCTCTCCTGCTTATACAGGTATCTGTCTTATTTGACTCCATCTATACTGGTCCAACTGAATTAAACATAAAGGGAAAGCGAAGAACTGAGACTCTTTTTTGGGGGGAGGAGGGACAGTGCTAGGGATCACACGCAGGACCTTGAGTATGCTAGGCAAATGCTGTTCCACTGAGCCACACCCCCAACCTGAGCTTGGATTTTAAATGATTATATTTTTGTTTTGTACATAGACAAATGTATTGCTTGGGAACAGGGAGAGGTGTTTTTGTTAGGTAAGTCAAAACAGATGACTCATTGGTCCCTTCCCTTAGTGCAGGTGATGAGGAGTACCTCACGTAAGTTTGGTCAGAGACCTGGGGACTAATGGATTAGATTTATCCTACACATGTCATAGAAAATATCTAAGACTATTAAAAAAGATAGTCAAGAACTAAATGTATCTAAGAGGAATACAACTTGCAAACTTTATTGATTGCACAGAACAAGGCCCATCTGTGAACATAAGCTGCCCTTCACGTCTAATAATGGTTGGATAAGTAATCGTATGTGAGTAATTCAGGATTGTCTATGAAGTTGAACTGTTTATTTTGAAGCCATCCTTGAGATTTTTAATACATTATTTAATATGAAATCTTTTATTATACGAAAATACTTTATAAAGAAATTAGGAAATATAGGTGTATGAATCACTATAAAACTAACATTTTTATATGCTAGATTTTATAAGTGCATATATATGTACGTTCTGTACTGTCAAACCTTATATATAGTTTTATAGCATTTTCACTTAATAAGTTGGGGCCATGTCAGGAAAAATATGCTTTTATATTATCCTTAAGAGGTAATATTTAATATTTTTGAATAGACCTCTATCTTTTAAATCTAGCAACTTAGATTTTTTTCACTGTTAGAAACAGTGCTTTGATGAACACTTGTATGCAAATATACATGTGCTCCATTTATTTTTAGGCCCTTTGGAGAGTATTTCTGTTAGGCAAATCATAACGTAAGTTCCTGGAAAGACAACTATACATAAATTATGTATTTCTCACCAAGATCCAGCTCTCATCACAGTGTACTGAGATCCTTCTTTTGCTCCATTTTCATAACTAGATCCACATTTTATTCCCTGGAGCCAAGTCCTGATGGTGGTAACCTGTGTGGTTTCATGTCAAAATCTTGTCACCAATAAGTATTTGTCTTATAGTCAGCATCCAAGTGTGACATGTATTTCCAGTTGGTGAGACCCTTCCCTTTCAACAGACTTCTGCTTGGATCTCCAGATACCTCATGGGATCTTCCATGGACCTCATTCATACCTATGTCCTGTCCTTCATTTCTGATTCATGTTGGAGATTAGGTTCTGTTCTCTAATTATTTACATTCTACTTTGACACCTTCATGTTTTCCTTACACAGTCCTAGCAAGCTCATTGTAAATATGTGACAGTGGATGTTACAGTTCAAAAAACCATGGGACTCAGTCTTTGGAATTGTATGTCTTTATAATTATTAAGCTTTTCTGTGTGGTTAAGACTTCTCTAACAGAATGTTAATTGGTTCTTATGCACTTATGGCTGGGATGTTCTATTCATCTGTGGCAGAGCATGAAAATTAGTGTGCTCTGGGTCAAATTCCATCTATTGACCTCTTTGCTTGGCTCACACAGTTTATAAAAATGGAAAATTTTACTTTAAAAATGTTTTCTGGCCATTCTTGGGAAAAAAATATCCCCAGATCAGATACCAGTGGCATCCTAGGCCTTCCTTTCATCTCATTTAATTCCTTTGTGCCATCAACTGGTGGCAGGTGTTGTTCTGGGTAGTGTACAGTGCATATTGTTTCAGTTACCCCTTCTGCTTCCTCCCCTATCCTTTGAAGTGCTTTCCCTGCTAATACTTGCTCTTCTAATGATTCCTCTTTGGGAGTTTCTGAGAATTTCTTTTAGCTTTTAGAGACCTTGATCAAATGGCTGGCAGGTGCTGAAGAGGATGTAAAAATCAAGGTACCTTGCCACAGTCAAGAGAAATCTGGAGTGAATTAACACTTCTTGGGCTTCTCTGTCAGGCAAGGCTGAAGCTACCCTCTCTGGGATCCTGCCTGAAACTGAACCCTTACTACCTTCCTCCCTTCCTGTGTGTCTCCCCTACCCCACAAAGCACCACCATAATAAATCACAGGCATATGTCTTTGTCTCTGGGTCTGCTATGGGGGGAACACAGCCTACAATAGAGAGGAGGTTATATTATCATTTCTCTTGTGATTTTTCTTTTTGTCCTTTTTATTATTTAGATTGTTTAATTGTCAGATTTGGGGGATTATCTAAATTTTTCCTGTTTTTATTAGAGGGCATACTGATCTCAGTCTTTTGAAATTCATTGAGACTTACTGTTTAGTCTCAATTCATACCTAGTGAATGTCCTAATTGTACTTGAAAAGAAGTATGCTCTGCAGTTTGGGATAGCGTTATACAGAAGTGTCAGTTAAGTCCACAATTAAGCGATTTATATCTTCCCTATCCTTGCTGATTTTTGAGCAGCCTACTGGTCCAGCTCTGATTATTGGTTTATTTATTGGTTAATTTTGTGAAATTTGGAGGCTTTGGGATTAGGATCGTGTTTTTAAAGACTGTTTTGTCCTTCACTTTTATGAAATACCCCCTTTTATCTCTGGTAATGTTCCTTGTCTTGAAATCTGGTTTCTAGTCTAACATTAGATATACAATATTGACTAGAAATATACTTTTTAGTCATTATTTACATGGTGTATCTTATCCTGTCTTTCTGCTTTTTTTTATAGTCTTAATATTATCAAGAAAGATAAACACCACCTGTTAGAGTACAAAAGGAAGGACACAACATTTTAAAAATGTAAAGGCAAGAAAATGTGTAATTTCATAAAAATCATCCAAATTTTAAATGATTGATTATGTGATGGATGAATGCTGTTTTTGAAATAGTAACAAATTCAAATACAAAGTTGATTTATAAGTCAGGTTGCAGAAGATTAAAAAAATCTGTTTAATTCAAAGTATAAATAATTTAAAAGAAGAAGAAAATGGGTGTTTTTTTGGTATTGAGTATGGAACCAAGGGCCTGGTGCATGCTAGTCTCGTGCTCTCCCACTGAGCTACACTCACAGTTCTCAAAAACATTGCATTTTGAGACAGCTTTTTAAAGAGTGACAGCCCTCAGGAGCGCCCTCTTGTAACTTCTCTCCACACAGTTTTGAATGGAAGAAAAATCAAAATCCTATGAATTCTTTGGTGTATTGGTAGAATTGGTCTTTCGAGCAGGTAATAGCTGTTTGTTTGTTTGTTTGTTTGGGTTTTTTTTGCTGATGCAGAATAATGAATTTCTCCTTTTTTATGTGTAATTTTATAGACTCATCCAAGCAGTTTTTAATATGAGGGAAATTTTGAAAACTAGTTTCTCATCATCTTTAAAATATGGCTTCACAAATATTTTTGAAATCTCATGTTTATCCCCATAGGTGTTTAATTTCTTTGTATTAGTTGGTTTTCCTCTGGGGGAATTTTACAAAATAGTATTCTTCGTCTTCATATATTGCCTGATCAGGCATATTTAATATTATCATTTAGACTTCTTTCTTTTTTTTCATTTAGATCCCCCCAACCACCTGTCTGCTCTTTTTTAGTTTTTATTTTTCATTAACCTATGGTAGTTACACAGAGTGCATATGTGGTATTTACATGCGTGCTTGCAGTATAGCTTGTTTACCTAGCTCCGCTTCTACTTGATGTGATAGCTCTCAGGCCATGTCGTTCCCTCTCCTCTTCCTAGTCTTGACTGCCATCTCATTTTATGATTCACATTCACTTTATGGTGAGAAGTTCTGTACTCCCTTGGAATTTTTCATGGGATACTTTGTTTTTTTATAAATGTTCTGTTTTAGCAACTGTCAGTTTTAGTCACAGATACAATGGATTGTGGTATCCAAATTTTGTATCAGGATTTTTTTTTACTTAAAGTTTTTTCTCATGTTAATTAGAAGCTTTCACCAATATTATTTAAGGTTTGGCTCATAACTTATATCAACATTTCCTGTTGTTGGAATAGTTAGGATTTTTCACAGTTTATAGTAACTAGAAGCAGATTTTTCTTGTGAGTGCTGTGTTTGAGATGTATTTAATTTGTATTAAAGAAATGGAATTACTAAGACAGAGTTTATAAAGGCTCTTAATTCATATTGCCAGATTGCTTCCAAAGAATGACTAGGTATTTTGTTTTTGGTTAATGTTTTTCAAAGTCAAGGTTAATTGAATATTTTAGGAGTTATATGCTGCCTACTACGTTTAAGATTAGTAGAATGAATGAGATGTAATACAGTGCTATAAAATGATGCTTTTCCCTTCATTATATAAGATGGCTTAGTAAATTTCTTTTTTAATTATGGAAAGTCTTTTGCTCCATTGAACCCATATCAAATTCAGTTCTGCAACATTTGGCAAGTATCTGTCATATACCAGGCATGTTGTTAAACAGTAGAGAAATAAAAACAAAGAAAATGGTTTCTGCGTATCAAGAGTTCAGCTCCTAGAAGGAGAGAAAGACTCATAATCTCGTAATGTTTTTTTTAACACATGGAGTCTTGACACATAAAGTGAACCTGAAAAGTACTGAGGGAGGATTGAAGAGAGTAGTCATTTGTGCCAGAGGGTATAATGCTTGAGTTTGGCCTTTAAAAGAACAGACTGTAGTAGAAGTATGAGGCAGTCTCTGGAAGAAGTAGCTTAAAAGAGAGTATTAGAATATGAAGGGTAGTCTGTATTACACAGTTAAAAACCAAACTCTTAAATTTCCAGATTATTTTGTTACCTTTCTAGTTGTCATTCATAATATTTCTTTCCTCTGGCAAAAACCCTTAGCTGAATGGTCTTTAATACTTTTCTTGGTTAAGTCTCCCGTTGTTAATCTGTTCCTCATTATACAGATAGAACAAATGGATTTCAATCCACACGCATTTCCAAAGGAATTAGATTCTGGATTGGACCCGTTTTTCTCCCACTATTCTTGGGTATCACGTGTTTGGTTTTATTATGAGGAAGAGATCTGTGTTCAAGAAACAGGTTTCTTGGCAAAGAACTGGTGCCATTCCTTCTGTTTTGGAGCCACATTGAGTGGTGTTTCAAATTATGTGGCTTGGTGATGATAGGTTGGGGTGGGGTGGTTGATCTTAAAATGGTCAGAATGTTGCTTTGCCAATATAAGATTAATTGATTGAACTGTGCAAAACTGGGCAGTGGTGGCTATTAGAACTGACCATTAATTATCTCTTAATGGACTGTCATAAAGTTCGGTAATTCTTTTAATGACATGACAGATGCCTTTCATAAATTTTATTTTCATCTTATTTTCAATAGGATGAAAGTTAAGAAACTGCCCATGATTCTAGCTCTACACTTGAAGAGATTTAAATACATGGATCAACTTCATCGATATACAAAACTTTCTTACCGGGTAGTTTTTCCTTTAGAACTTCGTCTCTTTAACACTTCGGGAGATGCAACCAATCCTGACAGAATGTATGATCTTGTTGCTGTTGTGGTTCACTGTGGAAGGTAACTGTGGCTCTGGGGACGTAACAGTGAATAGAGCAGAGCACATTCAGGATGTTCACTAGTGATTCAGATGGAGAGCTTTTATAGGCTTTTTTTTCTGAATATATTTTCTTTTGGGTTTTTGAGACGGGCTCTCGCCATGTAGTTTAGACTGTCCTGGAACTCACTCTGTAGCCCAGGCTGACCTTGACCTCATGATCCTTCTTCCTTGGCCTCTTGAATTGCTAGGATTATAGGCCTTTGTCACCACAACTGGCTTATATATCTTAATTTGTAAAATAACTCAAAATTTTCCCAGATCACAACACTGTCATGTAATGAAAACTTGGTATTTGGAATATACAATCTTCATTGACAGCCTGGAATTCCTTTTAATAATTTAAAAATAGGTTAGTCATTCCTTCTCCTTACTTTTGGGAAGCTTCATACTAATTATTTGATATTAAAATTGGTTGCTGTTATCTTTTGGGTAGGGGAGGAATAGGTAAGGGATATTTTTATCTATCAGTTTCTCAATAGAAGATGAAATTTAGGGCATGAAAATAATATAAACATCATACAGAATTAACCTTTTTTGTCTTTTTGTTTTAGTGGTCCCAATCGAGGCCATTATATTGCAATAGTTAAGAGTCATGATTTTTGGTTGCTGTTTGATGATGACATCGTAGAAGTAAGTAGTTTCTTAATTTCTTTAAGAAATTATTTTTTTCCCTTAACAGTTTCTCATTCATATATGACTGAACTGCAATCTAATTCCTAATTTTTACTCCCTAATGTCCATCCAAGCCCAGTGTATGAGTGGCCAACCAGTCTTTACACATCCTTGAGTATCAAGGGAAAGCTTTCAATAAAACCATTTCTAAGAAATTTTTATCATTTAAAAAGTTACTGAGCTGTGTAACATATATACAGTAAATTACAGAAAGCATGCTAGACAACTTGATGAAATTTTATTTGCATGGGGCACACATACTTATACACATACTTGAAACCACCAGCCAGAGCAAGATGTTTCCAATATCCCAACTGGCTCCTTCATTCCTCCTCCTCAGTCAACGCTCTCAGCTCTTCCCCAACATGTGCCCTTCATCCTCTGCTATTTGGACTTAGAAATTTTGCCTGTGCTTGAATATAAATGGATTCATACAGTGATTACTTTTGTGTCTGGATTTTCCCCCACTAGCATATTGTGAGATTTATTCCCTTTGTTGCCTATAATAATAGTTCTTTTTCATTGTTTGTCTGAATTAGCAAGTCTGAAATTTGGCTTTTTGATAGTATTTTTACTATGATGAATACAAGTGCCTTGCTCATCCTCGTACAGGTCTTTTGTTGGACATACTCACTTTTCTTGGGTTTACATTAGGTTGGACCATTGGAACTTACTATTTTTGCAGGTCCAAAATGATTGATAATTAGTATGTTTCTTATGGCTCAACCTACACCTTGAAGTAGAATTGCTGGATCAAGGATAGTCATATGCTCAGCTTTAGAAACATGCTCACTCAACATTTTTCCAAAGTGGCTATACCATTTATGTCCCTACTAGTCGTGTAGGGAGTTCTGTTCACCAAAACTTTATTGTCAGTCTTTTCTAGTGTTCAGAGCTCAATATTGTACTAATGTTTAATTTTGCCTTGCAGAAAATAGATGCACAAGCTATTGAAGAATTCTACGGGTTGACATCAGATATCTCAAAGAACTCTGAGTCTGGTTACATCCTTTTCTATCAGTCTCGGGACTGAGGGGGAACTGTGATGAAGAGATACTTTCTGCCTCATTTCTTCTCTGGTTACTTTGGAAGGATCAAGCACTGATTTTTCATGAAAAGAGAAATGCAGGAAGCTCAGGGGGCAGTAGCACACTTTGCACACAGTAGAGCAAAGACTATGGATTCATGAGCCCTTCCTATCATGCTAGTCGATTTATTTGCTCAGGTATCATGCTGTATGTTCCATACAACAAGGAAATGAAATCAGAGATACCAGCTCCTCTTGTAAACAGCCTTCCAGTTACTGGCACGTGTTTTCTCTTTAGTAATTGCACCAATAATGATTTGAATTCCTTGGGAGGACAGTAGAAAGAATTGGAATCTCTGCTGGATTGAGTGTTTATTTAAGGAGATGACCCTGAACGCACTGCATACATTGCCTGTGTTCAGCATACATAGCAGCATATTCAGTGGTCTTTTTCAAGTATAAACCAGAAGGACTTTTGGGCCCAACACTTGCGGTTGCCTTCCTGATGTCAAAAACTAACAAATACTAGAATTCAGTGTCAGGAAGACAAATATGTTTTGCTTCTCTGAAGAAGCTTATAATAATATACAGTATATGTATATGTCGGAAACAATTGGTCAAAGGTGGCTTTTTGTTTCCCCAAGGGGAAAGACTGGCTTTGTAATTATAATTTTTCCTTATTTATTTTACTGAAAACTGGTAGAGTCTAAGTATTGTATGAAGTGCCCATGATTCTGTCAGCAAATTTTAGCATTTTGTTTTCATTAGTTTTGCTAGTTTTAAGTAGTCCTTTTGTTTGTTTCTATTTTTAAGATGAATTTTAAATTCTATCTGAAATCACTAAGATAACCATGAGAAAAATTGCTACAAGAGGAGGTAAATACTCTTTTTCACGAGGAACTGATATCTCTGGCTAAATATTTGTTCTTTTGTAATATTTTGTAAGTCAGTTATTTTATTCAACTTTAATTTCAATAAAATAAAAATTCAAAAATTACCTTGAGTTGTTGGAATGATGAAAGAAATTCTGGTGCAGTGGTGGTATACCAATCTTTATAATTCTTAAATATTCTAATGTTCAAGTTGAGCCATGCTTGGAAAATTCAGTTATGTTATTTTCAAATGTCTTTTTTTTTTTACCTTGTAAAGAAATAATATATTCATAATAACCCTAATGGCCTGGATGGTAGCTGAAAACTTTTTGAAGATTACATTTAATGAAGTAGACCAAGTAATCTAAAACAGAGTTACTTGTACCCCCCTCTGACTTTACAAATCCAATGGGAAGAATGTTCAGAAATTAAAATTTATGTTCAGAACTTCATTCTGTTAGGGGTTTTAAGAAGTAATACATATAATATATATAAAGTATTGCATCTGACATTTTCCCATGCACCAGTAAGTGGTCTGATGGTGGCCAAATGTAACTTATAAAAAGTTATTGAAAATTATATTAAAAATAGTAGCAATCAGGCATTGGATATCATTATCCAAACTCTTCACACAGTGATTTTTTTGTTAATTCTCTAATTTTCTAGTTATTTTACTAAAACTGTTGACTGTGGAAAACAAGCAACAAGAAAGAATGGTTTTGTGCTGCTATTAGTAACATTTACTATCTGTATCTTTCAGCTCAGGAAATGACTTCACCTATTCATCCCGTAAGCAGGTTTTTAACAGGGTTACTAGCTAATTGGGCTGCTTAGACAGATGTGCTGGGGCAAAATTGTGGTATTTTGGCAAATTCATTTTTAAGATAACAGTTCTAGAGCCTTGCCCTGGGTTGGAGTTGTATTGTACAAATCATGGGTAGCCTGCCTGATCTTCCCAGCCCTGCAGAGAATCACAACAGAGAATGTGGGGAAAGTCAGAGTAGTGGAAGTGCTTGCATTTTGAGGGCTTAAACCAAATGTCTTGGAATTTCAAGCTATAGTTGTACAGCTTCGTGTACAGAAAAAAAGGGTAATGTGAAGCAGAGTCAGTTTTAATATCAGCTTGGCTATAGAATGTGTAAGAAAGATGAAGTCATTTGCATAAAGGTACAGCATTGAAATATTATGGTTTTACATTTTTTTTTAAATATGCAGAAAAGCCACATGAAATTTCATATTAGAGCAAGGTCTAGTATTGTTATTGAGTTCACATAGTTGCACACTGTGCACATTCACATGTATTTCATAGTATGACTTGTCAGGGGAGGGACTATGGGGTGATGGTTCAAAATTCACTTTTTACTCTTTGTGCATCTGGATCTAAGTGAAACATTTTGAATTTTATCAGAATCTCAATACACTTTTAAAACACACAAGGTTAGGGTTGGGAGAAAAATAAGGTACAGTAAGAAAAGTGACTCATCTAGGAAGCATTGTGAGGCTGTTTAGGGGCTGGCTGGGATTGCAGTGAGAGGCAGGTTCAGTCATAAATGGGGCTGCTTGCTGTATAAACATGTACATGTTTGTTGGGATAGTTGTCCCATATTTTGTATATTGGAATAAAAGTTTCTATGAATTATCATAACTAAAAGTAAATATTCTAAGTCAAATCCCACTTCTAAGTCACATGGCTTTTCTGTCTTGGAAATGTTACCTTTGGAAGATGAAGACAGGAGCCAAGAGGCTTTAGAAAAGGGAAGGAAGTATACTGTGTGGGTCTTGTGGCCTCAGCCATCAGTGTAGGGTTTTTTCTTTCTTTGATGCCAATTAAAAAGACCTCATTTTCATAACATACTACTCTTGATACTTTCTTTAAAAATACTTTTCATAAAAGAGTCTCTCATGAGGTATTTGGCTGGGAGCTGGGAGGCTAAGGGGCTTGAGTGCTGTCTCGTCAGTGAACTTAACCGTGTGACCTTGGGCACGTCACTTAACCTCTCTGTGCTTCAGTCTCCCTGTCTTGTAAAATGGGAGTAATACCTACCTCACAGGGTTGTTGTGGGGATTAATTAGAGATATTGTCTGTAAAGCATTTAAGGTTCTTGAAGAAGGCGCTATATAAATACAAAATAATATCTATTAAAGTTGGTTTATTTGTGCTTGTGTTTTTAAGTGTGTTTTTTTCTTTTTTGCCTAAAATGTATTTGGAAATTAGAAATACACACTTTGGAAATTGTGTTACTATTGTGCAAGTTACTACTTTTGTTATCCCAAGAGATTTTCTGTAGAGCAGTAGTGCATGTGTGTAAAACAATGTGCCTGCATTTAATTAGCATATTATTTGCTATGTTAGCTTTCTCTTGCAATGACAGAATACCTGAGATAATCAGCTTAAAAGAAGTAAGATTTATTTTGGCTCACAGTTTGGTCTATGGTCAGTTGGCTCCATTGCTTTTGGACCTGTGGTAAGGCAAGCACATCAAGGTGAGAGTGCTTGGCAGAGAAGCAGCTCACTAAATGGCAGCCAGGAGCCAAAAAAGAGAAGAAGCTGGGTTCCCATGTACCCAGTGACAACTTCCTCCACTAGGACCCACCTTGTGTAGGTTCTACCGCCTTTCATTGGCACAAAAAGCTTCAATACCGGGGTCTTTGGAGGACATTCCAGATCCAAACTTGTATTTATGTAGCAGTAGCATGTCTTTTGAAAAATTCCAAGTTCATCATAGTCTTAGAGGGTAAATATCTTAAAGGTCACTCTGCACTGCCTCTCTTCCCTAACACAGGGTGGTGATTATTTCAGTAAAATCTGTGTCCTTTGTGCTTAGCCTGCCCTTGAGGGGCAAGTTCTAGTTTTGAGTATAACTTGAATTGTTATTTATGTTGCCATTATCTGTAGCCCGCCCTTCATTCTCCTGACCTTTGTTTTACATGGCTTCAGAGACTTCACTCTTGAGAGCCCCATTCTGGAAGCACTGCTTACTCAGATCTCTGAAAAGAGTGCTCAGCAAGTGAGTAACACAGCAAGTGAGCCTGATGTTGGTGAGGACCTACGATGGCATTCTCTTTTTCTAAGCCTCACTGAAGTAAGTGAAATGACATATCCAAGAGTTTTTCATGAAATGTTGAAAAGCCAAGACTGCCCCACCACCATCTTTTTCAAATTCTTTTGTTACCACTTCCTGTCCATGTTAGTTTTTCCACCTCTATCTCCACTCATCATCTCCAGAGTTGCTGTCATTCACTTTGAGTGATCATTTGCCATGTGGCCCTATACTTGGTGTTTTATTAACTTCTTTCGATGTTGATCTCAGTAGCATTATCTATGAAGTAGTGATGTCTTCATTTGATAAAAAGAAGAATCTTTAGCTTTTCAGAAGTCAAATAGTTTTCCCAGTCACTCATTACAGGTGGAATTATTATGAGGTATTTGTCCTGTGACTGGCTTATTTCACCTAGCACAATGTTTTCAAGGTTCGTTCTTGTTATAGCTGTGCTAGAATCGATCCATCTCCCTCCCCCATCACTAAGCCCAGGCTAGAACTTGTAATCTTCCTGCCTTCTCATCCCTAATTGAATTTCCTTTCTTTTTAAGCTTAAATGATACTTCATTTTCTCCATACCATATTTTATCTATCCTTTGATGAAATACCTGGGTTGTTTCTACCTTCTGGCAACTGTGACTAATACTGCTATGAGTGAGCTTTGGTTGCAATTTCAGTCCCTGATTTCAGTTCTTCTATACCTAGAAATCACTGGGTCATATGGGATTTTATATTTAACTTTTTAAGGAGCAACCAGTACTGCTTTCCACAGAGATAGCATCATTTTATATTCCTATCAGCTATGTACCGGTTTTCCAGTTTCTCTGCCTCCTTGATGACTCATTTTGTGTTTTTTGTTTGATTAACTTTACCATCCTACTAAGTGTGAATTCCTCATTGTGATTTGATTTACATTTCCCTAATGACTGGTGGTGTTGCGATGTTAGGCATCTTTTCATGTGCATGTTGACCATTCTATGTCTTTGAAGAGATAGCTCTTCAGGTCCTTTTTTTCCGCAGTAAAAATGATAGTAAAGTTTATTAGTAAAGAAATGTAATATAACAGGATAAAAGTAGGGAGAAATGAGAAAAAAGAGAGAAACATTTCCTGCCCCCATGCAGGAAATGGGAATAGGCTCCTAAGTCCTTCTTTTAATTGAGGAATTTGGGTGTTATAAAACTGTAGAGTTTAAATTCTGGATGTTAACCCTTTATCAGATAATACAATTCACAAATATTTTCTCCTATTCCATGGATTGTCTTTTCACTGTCTTATAGGTAGTATCATTTGATGTACAAAAGCTTTTTAGTTTTGATGCAGTCCAATTTAGCTTTTCTTTTTTTGTGTGTGTGACACTGGGGTTTGAACTAGGGATCTTCCTTTTGCTAGACAGAAGTTCTACCATTTGAGCCATGTCTCCAGCCCTAGTTTTTCTTTTGTTGCCTATGTTTTTGATGTTACATACAAGAAATCATCTCCAAATCCAGTGTCATGAAGATTTTACCTTATGCTTTTTCTAAGGACTTGAAAGTTTTATTTTTAGGCCATTGGTCCATTTTGAGTTAGCCTTTATATATAGTATAAGGTAAGGGATGATTTTGTTCTTTTACATGTGGATACCCAGTTTTCCTGGCACCACTTGTTGAAAAAAACTGTCCTTTCCCACTGAACAAATAGTCTTGATGTCTTTGCTAAAATTAAACTGGCCACATATACTTGGACTTATTTCTGGGCTTTCACTTTTATCTCATTGTTCTGTATTTCCTTTTGCTAGTACTACATTGTTTTGATTATTATAGCTTTGTAGTAAGTTTTGAAATAAGGAAGTGCTGAGTCTTCCAACTTTGTTCTTTTTCAAGATTATATTGGCCCTTTGAGATTTCATTTGAATTTTAGGTTAACGTTTATTTATGCAAAAATTGCCATCTGGATTTAAGGCAGGCTAAAATTAGAGAAAGTTCGAAACTCATAGAAACTTAATATTGCATTTCAAATTGACCACGCTCTGGCTCAGGGACTGCCCTCACCTGGCGAGGAACCACCCATGCCCCTCTTCACTTACTGACTGTTGGATGAACATCACCTGGTTCCTCCCTTCCTACTGATTAGCTTGAGTTTTAAAAGCATCTGGAGAAGAGAAGCACTTGGTCTACCTGCAGATTCCACCTGCATCCACCATGCTCCCTTTTGTATTTCCCTTCCCTAACTTTTAATAAACTTCATTTGCACTCATGTGTCCTACCATGGACTCTTACAGGACACAAAGAATTTGGAAGTCTTCTGACCGCAGACTCCACCCACCGGCAACAGATTTTCATAGGGATTGCATTGAATTTCTAGACATAGAATCTTGAGGTTGAGTACCAACAATATTGTTCTCCAATCAAGAACACTGAATGTCTTTCCACATATTTAGGCTTTCTTTAAGTTCTTCTAGTAGTGTTTTGTAGTTTTCAGTGTACATCTTTTATCTCCTTGGTTAGAAGTATTACTAAGTATTATTTTTTGACCCTACTATGAGTGGGACTGCTTGCTTTCTTTCTTTTTGATCATTTTTAAGCCCATGGTAATTAACTGATTTTTGTAACCTAAAATTTTGGGGAATTTGTTTATTAGCCCTTAATTCTGGGGGCTAATAACTTTTGGTGGGATTTTTTTTTCTTTTGTTATTTAAACTTTAGAATTTTCTGCAGATCAGATCATGTCATTTGCAAACAGATGATTTTTCTTCTTGTTTTCTGATTTGGGTGCCTTTTATTTTTCTTTCCTAATTGCTCTGTCTAGAACTTCTGGTACTATACTGAATAATAATGGTGAAGTTGGCACCCTTGTCTTATTCCTGTCTTAGGAGAGAAGCTTTTACTACTGAGTATTATGTCAGCTTCGGGTTTTCATATTTGGCCTTTATCATAGTGAGGATGTTTCCTCCTGTCCCTGTTGGGTGTTTTTGACAAGAAAGGGTGTTGCATTTTGTCAGTGTCTCCTTTGTATCAATTGAGGTGATCACTTTTTGTTGTTATTCCATGGTTACATGAATGTGCTATATTACAGTGATGGCCATATATTGAACCATTTTTGCATTCTGGGAATAAATCCCACTTGACTAAGGTATATAGTCTTTATTATGCTGCTGAATTTGGGTTGCTAGTATTTGTGATTTTCCTATCAATATTGATGGGGGTATTGGTGTGTAGTTATAGAGTGTGTCTTTTGTCTAGCTTTGATACCAGAGTAATGCTGGCTTCATGAAGTGAGTTAGGAAATGTTCCCCCTCTCTTTAACTTTTTGGAAGAGTTTGAGAATATCAAGACTTTTTCCCCAAATAACTTAATATTTATACGCTTAGTGAGTCATTATTAAGATAGTTGAGGGCATAGTCTTTGCCCTTAAAGAGTTATCATCTGAGAGGAAGTCAAGAGAGCATGGGTTGGTGGGAAAGTCAGCTGTATAAATGGACATATACATGACTCTATATGCTAGGTGGGAGAATGCGGTGTGGGATGATGGCGTTGATATCCACACAGGTACAGCCAGGTGGCTGGACCCATGGGTAATCTGGAAATCAAAAATAGTCAAAGGGACTGGGAATACTAAATATGGTGGGAATTTAAGAATACTAACTTATGATGCTATTTGGTAGTAGAATTTCTCTACGTCTTCTTCAGATTTAACCTTTTTTTAAACGCTTAAGAAAAAGGTATAAATCCCTTTTAGGAGCCCTGGCTCCTGAGAAGACAACCTTAACACTATTCTACATCATACATGTTTATTATAATTCACCTTAATAATTGATTCCTTTTAAAAATCTCCTCACCTGTTGCCAGTGAATTTCCCTCATGGTTAAAATGTGATGTGACACTTAGTGGAGAAAAGTTACCACCTTTTGCTTGCGTTCAATAAACAGAACTGTCTTTAGATGAAGAAAAATAGATGGTAGAGTGTTCTGGTTCCTGAGATAAATCCCCAAAGATTTTTGATTCCCTGGTGTTGAGGAATCTTGGTTTCAAAAATTCCCAGGTGATTTTAGTCAGCAAGGTCAAGTTTCCTGGGACAAAAATATCTGGAGCTCTCCAGCTTGTTCT